TTTTTAACTAGAACAGTGAAGTCAGCACGTAAGGAGCCCTGGTGGCACAGTGGGTTATGTATTGAACTGCGAACGACGAGCTCAACAGTTGAAAACCACCAGCCGCTCTGAGGGAGAAAGATGAGCGTCCTACTCCTATAGAGACCGAGGTTTGGAAATCACGGGGGCAGTTCTACTTCATCCTGCAGGGTCACTAGGAGGCGACTTCATGGCCATGAGGAAGTCAGCACTTATATATTTTATTTTTACAAATAATTTTATTGGGGTCTCTTATAGCTCTTATCACAATCCATCCATCCATCCATTGTGTCAAGCACATTTGTGCACACGTTGCCATCATCATTTTCAAAACATTTTCTTTCTACTTGAGCCCTTGGTGTCAGCTTCCCCTTCCCCAGCCCCCCCCCTCCAACTCCCTCGTGAACCCTTGATAATTGCAACCCTGTGGGACAGAGTGGTACTGTCCCGTGGGTTTCCAAGACTAACTCTTGATGGCAGTAGAAAGCGCCTCTTCCTGTCACGGGGCAGCTGGTGGTTTCAACCGCTGACCTTGAGGTCAGCCGTCTAACGTGTAACCACTCTGTCAACAGGGCTCTTTCCAAAAATAATAAGTAAATAACCCACAAAAACCAAACTCACTGCCATTGAGGAGATGTCCACCCAGAGTGAGCCTACAGGACAAGGTAGAACTGCCCTGTGGGTTTCTGAGACGGTGACTCTTTATGGGACTAGAAACTTCATTTTCCTCCCATGAGCAGCCCAAATGATAACCACTACACCACCCACGCTCCTTCAGGGTTGCTTATTAGTGCCGTCCTGTACTATTTGGGAGGCCAGAGGAGAGTTCGATGCCCGCCGAGAGTCCGGCTAACATCAATCACCACATGTATGGTGGCCAGCGCCCACTGCTCGGCCAGCACTCACCGTGTTGGTCGTGGTTTTGGACCACCTCACTGTCTCCACCCACCCTGACATCCCCAATCAAGAGAAGGAGCTGGGGCCAGGACGAAACACACGTACCTGGTTGTTCTTCCCTTTCTGATGGCATCTGCTTTGCATCTCTGGGGAGGCCTCCCAGAGGATCTGAAGGAGGAAGAGAATGGGCAGATGCATGGGCCCCCATGTCCTTCCTTCCCCCGGGGGCCAGGGATAGCCAATAGGACCCCGGGGAGCTGGGAAAGTTGGGGTGAATGCTGGCTACAAGGGAGACTTGGGATGAGGGCAACCTGGCTGTGCAGAGGCTTGGAGGGCTGGCAGGGTTTCTGGAAAAGTTGAGACCCTAGGGAGCTGCATAAGGCTGCAGATAAGTGTGCCGGTCCCACACTGACCTCTTTGTGAGTCCCATCTCCTATGTCCTGAGCATTGAGAGAGAACAGGGCACCTCGGGCACCCACCAGCAGCCTCCCGGAGGCCTCCTCCAGCAGCAGTGTTGAATAGTTCTGGGCTTGGCCCTTGAAGTGCCGGGTCCCGGAGAGCTCTGGGTGGACAGTGGGAGATGTGAGGCCGCCTCTGGAGCTGCCTTCCCACTCCCAGCCCCGGCTCCCACCATCTCTGTAGGATGGGCAGCTCACCTTCGTAGGGGATGGTCATCCGAGGGGTAGCATCTAGTTCTCTGGATGGTCTCCGTGGTGAGGGTCCAGGGATAGCCGTGGCTATGAGGCAGCTCAGGAGGAGGGGCCAGAGCCTTCCCCACATCTTCCTGGGGCGGCCCAGACCAACAAGGTTCCCAAGGGGAGCCAGGGCCAAAGCCACCAGGGGGGGCTTTTATGGGAGGAACAGTTTCAGGGGTCAAGGTCCAGGGAGGTCACTTGGAAGGTCAGGGGTCATGAGGGCACAGGGGTTTCCGAGTCATGGGGCCAGGGGGGGTCCTGGAATCGGGGGGACATGGGGTCACAAGGTTGTGTGGCCATGGACTCCCAGCGAAGAGGTCAGAGGGAGGGACATGTCACACACAGCATTTCTGCATCAAACTCCATGATGGAGGGAGTTGTAGGGTTACAGACAGGTTTGTAGGTCCTGAACGGGGTCACCCTCTCCCTGGCAGTGAGACTATTCCTGGTTCTCTGAGGTTGGTTCTCTGAAGAAAAAAAGCAGGAAAAAGGCTTTTGGGTCTGTATATGGGGTAGCATGGCCCCAGACACCTGGGAACACTGAGGAAGGTAGTCCAGGGGCCCCAAAGCTCCCTGCCCATGACGGCCCCAGTCCTCTGGGTCACCTCTCTGCTGTGATGCAGGATTGTCCTTCTCACAAGACCCTGCACTCTGCACTGCCTTCCTCTGGCAGACACTTGCAGGCGGCTTCTCCGGGAGACACGGGCTCCTCACAACAGAGACCCAGCCAGGCTGCACCCGTCGGCCCTTGCCTGTGGGGGTGTCATAGGCAGGAAGGCGGAGCTGAGCTTTAATGGGCCTTTGTTTCTTCTGTCCTGTTTTCCCTTTGTTTTTTCTTCTTCCTGACTCCAGAGCTCCCTCGGGAATTTCTCTTTAATTAGACACTTCTCTCCTCCCCAGCATTCCTGTTGGAGGGGGTGTACACCTCTGTCCTGCCCTTGCGAGTCTGCACTGCACCCTCTGGCAAGGAGGCCACACGTGTCCCTACCTGCCAGCAGGCACTCACAGGCACCTGGACCCCTGAGCCCCGCTAGCCGCTCAGTTACAGTGCCTGCACAGGAAGTTCTAGTGTGAGGGTACACCTGGGGGAGGAGAACGAGGGGGTCCCTAAGCTCACGGCTAGAGATGATCCCACACCTGAACCTGCCCTCAAGCCACCCAATTAGGGGTAGGGTGGGGATGGGCGGCAAGTCTTCTAACTCTTGTAATGAGCCTCTTTGACCCCTGTAACTGGGACGCCTGGCGATCCACTTCTGAAAACAAAACAAAACCAGCCCTTGAAAGTCCTACAGAGCATAGCTCTACCCCCACATACATACCCAGTCAGGTACCGCCGTGTCGGGATCCTGGTCTGGGTCTATGTGTTTGTTTTTGGTCCCTGTGACAGGCCTCCTGATCAGAGGGGCCACTGAAGACTTCCCGGGCTGGGATAGGTATAGAGGAGACCTTGACCCATCCCATCTCATGAAAGGTCCACAGATGGAGCCACAGCCTACCATGGCCTCTCCCCTCCCTTCCATGTCAAATATTAACCATCTGGCCTTGAGGAGAGGGGAGGGGTCAGGTGCTGAGCAAGGAGTGGGCAAGAGGGGAAAACAGGAAGTTGGAGCGTTTATTCAAGAGGTCAAAGTCCGAGCTGTAGTATAGCTAGGGACGAGGTGTGAGATGAACAATGGAGTGTGAGAGGAGGAGAAGGGGGCCGCTGGACCACCAAAAGGGCACCAGCTCCTGGTTTGGCACCTGGGGCAGCAGGAGGCCCCAGGCAAGCTGCCCGCACCCCACCCCCTTCTGTGGAGGCACACCTGTTTACCTTTGGGGCCTCCTATTTGTTCAGTGCTAGGTGGGTGCAGGGACTGTTTGGCTAGGGAGGAGGACAACACCCCAGGTCAGGGGAACCCCTCAAGTGGATGGTGGCTGGCACACACATGTGCTCAGAGGAGGGTGATATTCACAAGGAGGGCTGCGTGCCTATGTGTACGTACAGGAGAGCCCGTGCACACCTCAGGAAGGTTTCTGCAGGCCACATGGGTTCATGCAGTCACATGTGGGGTGGCATTCATGTGCCATTCAGTAGGTTACACGTCCTCAAGGTTGCAGCCTGTGAGGGTCCTACATATACACACACAGGTGTAGGGTCATGCCCTGAGCCCATTCATGTAGTGGGCCAGGCACACATCCGTTGGCATGAAGGTAAGGGTGGATTACCACCCAACACGCAAGGTAGGCAAAGGGTGAACCCATATGAAATGGTTCATTAGAGATTAGGAAGTAAGCACAAGTAAGCCAGGCTTACCTTGATGTCTGGGTGCTCCGTCCCTGCAAGGGATTGTAACTTTGAAGAGAGGTTTGGATTCTGGAGGAAGGTGAGGTGGGGGTTGGGGGAGGGTCAGGTGCCAGCCAGATCTGGGTGCACAATCTTTCAAGCGGTGAAAAAATGTGAAATGGTTCACTACAGATAGACGAGTAGGTAAGCTCAAGTAAGCCCAACGCTGCATGAGGTGAAGCACACCTGCGTTCACGCAGCATCCTCACACAGGAGTACACACACAGGGCCACACAAACTTGGCGGCTGCAAGGAGCCACTGGGGTGACAGGCGGAGCAGGGCCCCACTTCCCTTCCGGAAAGTCAACAACTCCCAGTTCCAAAGCCAGGTTCCAAGTGTGCGTGTACATGGGAGGGGGAGACGTCTGACCGAAGCTGGGGGTGGGGGGAGGGACACGGGCAAGGCAGTTCTGCTAGCGGGGGGATAGGGGGACGGCGCCAGTGGGGAGAGGGGTACTTAACCCTGACAGACGCAGGCCCCCAGCTTTGGCAGGGAGAATGAATGGGATAACTTAGCACCGCCCTACCCACTAAGCACACTGCAGTTCTAGATAGGCTAGTTGGTCCAGGGCACTCAGCCCCCATTTAACCTGTTGGGAGGGTGGAGCTAGATGGGTGGGGCGGGGCATGCATCGCCACGACAGTGGGGAAGAGGGTCCAAGGTCTCTCGCCCAGACCCCACTCTCCAACCCACGTTCCACAGTCCAGTTCCTCCCGGAATCAGCCCCCTGAACCCGAACTACCTTCCCGCTATTAGACCCCAGGGCGGAGGAAGCTGGGAGGGGAGATCCCCAATCGGGATCAATGGAGGATCCGCAGGCTCTCGACCTTCATCCCAGCTGGGTGCACAATAGGCTGCCCTGCTTTGTGGGATGGCAGTCCCCCCTGGCTGAGCAAGCCCCTGCCCTGCCCCCCTCGACCCCCATACCCTAGACAGCCCGCGGCTCCCTTCCCTTGTCGGGTCTAACCTCAGTCTCTACAGCTGCAGCTCGAGGACAAGCTCTCCTTCGATCCCGCCGGGCACCGGGCGCCGTGCCCCAGATCCCGGAGAACACTGTTGGCCACGCGGGCCACCGCCCCGCGCCAGTGCCCGACTCCGCGGTGCGGGATGCGCCCCGCGGCTTGGCCCGTGCCCCTCTCCAACCCTTCTGTGGGATGGGGGGCTTGGCCGCGAGAAAGGCCTGGCTCAGCTGCAAGGGTGGATTGGATGCGGAGAAGGCCTTGCTTGGCGGC